GAACAACAATAAACACTGAGCAATGAAAATACGTCTCTGTTTAAAAGTCTCACTGAATGAAAAAAGTCACTTTCCACCCCCTCCTAATAAAATATATGCCTATCCCAGACTTGTTAGCTCTTGCCAGTGTTTTCCCTGAAAGTGGAATCAACATAAGCAACTTTTCTCATGTGTCACATATCATAAAAAGACATAGGATTTCACAAGGAATATAATTTATTAGGAAACCCACTGGCAGAGCTGATAAGAGAACCAAGGGTGCAGGAATCAATTTAAATGGGTCTGTGGAATTGGTTGGTTTTACTCTTCTTTCCATGTAGTTTTTATTTCTTTCCTTGTCGTCTTTGGGATGAAAGCAAGGATATTTTTGAGTCTGGAATGGGTAGTGCTGCTACACACTGTAACAACTGTCAGAAGTGACCTGTTCTCCTTCAGACTTAAAAGATAATCTCAGATGACACTATCTGTGCTGCCAGGGAGGCTTTTTGTCTGTCTGAAATCTGAAAAGGTTTACTAGAAATTAATTTTAAAATATTCTCTGTTGCATGGTTGTGTGTTTGAAACAACTCTCCTTAGAGCCCAGATGACATTCTCAGCAGGTAGTCATTATTTTAAAGTTGATACAATATGTAGTTAAAAATGTGTGGTTAAAAAAAGCAAACAGAAAAAAACCTACCAGCAGCAAATGAAGCTCAAATGCCTCTCAAAGATCATGCATGAAGGTGACTGGGGGTTGGGGGGGGCATGGATTTACTCCTTTCCTACCTGCAGGAAAGGAACTTGCATAAGGGCTAGTACTACTGCACTGTCTACATAGGTTTAAGAGGCCTATTGGTTCATATTATTGCAGATTCCGGAGGCCCAAATGATCCCCAAGCTGCTCCTTCATCTTCCTTTATGCCAACCTACTTGAGGTTTAAGATCTCAGTAGGATATATTTACCTGCAATATATTATCCAGCCACTAGATGTCTCTGTAAGCTGATCAGCTTTCCAGAACGGGTGCGTTCACAGGTAAACAAGAGAGACAAAGCTGGAACACAAGTAGTGAGGAAGCCCATTTGTTGGTGTCTCCAGTTGCTTTCTTTAATAAATGCTTCATGTTTAAGGCAGACTAGAATTCTATGTACTGTATTATTCACTCTTTAATGTGGCCGCCTGCTGCTGTTCTTCAGTGCTGCGGAGAATTTTGCCTGAGCCTTCCCTACTGGGGGTCAAGTTTAAGCAGAAAAAAAAGCAAGTGAAATCTTCAGAAAGAAATGGATTTCTGTTTGTAGTTAGCTAAAAGATGTTACAGCACCTGCTGAGATCTGATTTCAGGGTTCTCCTGAAAAAAAAAAGGATGACCTCTGTTGCAAGGAAACACTCAATAATATTATTGATAACACTACTACTGTTACAATTTTTAAACTAAGATCTGTGAACTAGATCTTTAAGAACTTCAAACTAAGCTCTTAAACCAAGAACATAAACACATTAAAATATGTTATCAAGGATGAAGTGTATTTACTATACTCCTTTTTAGTTTTTAAAGTGGTCTCCTTTTACAATATACTACAAAGTCAGAGAATGTCAGTCTCAGAATTAGAACTTCCTGATGTAAGGCCTAAAAACAGCAATTTATCATGTGACAGTTTCAGGACACAAAGATAAATCAGACAGAGGTGTTTATGAGAATACGCAACCTTGTATTCTGATAAGCAATGTTACAGCAGATCTTCAAAAACCTGTTTTTGTTGCTGATGGCACACAAACAGTCAAACCAGCATTGCAAGATTAGAAAGCAGTGAGAGTGGAGGAGGAGGAGGTTAATTTAACTTATTAACTTGATTTTCAGATGACTCAAAACATAATTATTTCATTTTATTCTTTCAAGTAATCTGGGTCTTTGAAACATTTACCAGAATAGGAACACACTTTAATTTAAAAATGATATATGTCAGTTCAAGTTATTTTTAGGGTAGCTCTGGAACTAGCAGAGATACTAAATTATGATGTTGAATGCTTTACTCCAAGACTGAGACTTATTTACAACAGAGGTTTAATTGTTCATTTGACTACTTTCAGCAGTGTCTGACCTTAAATTGTTCATTTGACCATGTTCAGCAGCTGCAGGCAGACTTCAGCAACTGATTTAGCCAGAAGCCATCAATCCTCCCATGTAAAATTGTAAACAGATAGATCTATTAGCATTTTTGTTCAATGTTCTGGGAAGATCTTACATACGTTTTTGTAACTTTCTTTCACACAATCAATCACCCTGTGCTACATTTGCTCACAGCAAAATTCTACTGACTGCAAGAGAGTTACATAAAGGATGAAAATGGCTATCTACTTAAGAACAAGCCAAATATATATGCGCGCGCGCGCGCACACACACACACACACACACACACAGGCACTTGGAAGAAGAAAACTGTTATACTTCATAGGAGCACACGTGTATCTAAAATATTCCATGACATCACCACCTACAGTGGCTAGACCCTGTCACAGAGTAGTCAACTCCCAACATTTTATTGGGACTCCTGTGATATTTGATGTTTTCTCAATGGTCCTATCCCTGGAGTCACATGGTAATGCACAGATCTTGGCTTTTATTTAATATTAAAAAGATATTTTTTAGTTCTCCTGGTTGCAAAGAACAACTTGTAAATATGCCCCCTAAAGGCTCAAAAGCACAGTAAACAAAAATAATTCAAAATATATTTTGTGTTATAAATATCATAACGGGGGGGGGGGGGGAAAGAGGCCTAACATAATTCTTGAACACTTCTAGTTGGCAAAATTTTACAGTGGGCCAGGCTAAGGCAGAAAGAGCCTATTCTAAACCCTGGATCTCCTGGAGAGAAGGAGGAGAAGGCCAAAGCCCTAGCCTCTGCCCAAGTCAACAGAGATAGCTAAATTCATAATAGGGAGCCTCTGAGTTGAGCCACAGTTATCCCAGAGATTAACTGGAGTCCATAGAAGCATGCTCTGAACCCAGAACAAGCCCTGCCACAGTCTGCTGTAACTGAAATTTTACATGACACTCAAATGCAGCCACCCCTGAGGTACAACAAGGCAGCTGTTTAAGAGCAAACAACAAATGTTATGTAATAGTTATGACTGGAAGTATAGAAAACTAAAAACAGATAGGAAATTTAGATGTTTAGAGTGTAATCGCCCATTCTGGAACCTGGGCAGTATGCTGAGATAACACCACTACCCTTGTAAAAACTGCCAGGAGAGCTTTAACTAGTTGGCATCTTGAGTTTCCCCTCCTGAGGGTGTGACACCTCCACTTCCCTGCACCATCCTGAGGCACTATTGAAAAATTCATTCACAAAAAAAAAGAGAGTCCAGCCTACAGAACCGTGAGCACCACTTCCTCCAGCATCCAGGTTTCCATTAGAAGTCTCTTGTCCAAGTAATCTCTAGGTCAGACTCTGCATGGCCAACAAAAGCACAGTAATACAGCTACAAGTCTTTTTTCTGTTAAATGCTGGTAACTACAGAGTGAGATTTTAATTTTTACTAACCAGGAGAAAACAAAGGAATCTCAAAGAGCCAAATTTCTGGGCTGGTGAACTCCTATGCAGCCTCACTGAAATTTGTGATGCAGCAGCCTGAAGCTACATGGATTGGGATCTATCTGCATGAATCAGGATGCATCTAATCACTAGCATTCTGGAAAGCGCTATCCACCTGATGGCTTAAAAAATGTGTGATAAATATATGTATCAAACTCTATCTCTGACATTTGCCTACTCCCTTGGACTTACTCTATCAGAATCAGATCTAAATGATCTAACTTGGCACAGCAGGACTACCACCAGCGAGTGAATTAACACATGCCAGAACTGCTCTTCAGAAATGCCTAAAAGATGTATCAAAATAGCAATGAATGCTCAACTGAGCGGTTTGAATTTTGAGTCCTTTCACTAGTTGCAAATAAAATGCTGACTTCTGCACTTTCTATCATGTAGTGCCCAGTCAGATTATATCGAACATAACTGGATATTTTATATACCCTTAATATTTTATTTGGCAATAAGAGTAATGGTCATGGTACAGCAGGTACTATCTAATTGTGCAGCAACTGGTGCCACGAACCAGATTTCACCCATGCTAAGGTAATGGTCGCCAGTTGATTTTTTCCCCAAAGTGCTGGCACGAAAAGAAGAATTGATTGAAATTCATTGCTTTGAGACAGCTTTGTTGTTATGATACTTGTCTGTTTAAGCTGATCATCACCATGATACAGGTAGGGAAGGACCCAAAGATCAGAGGAGATTTTGCACTGGAAATTGGAAAGCCTTTTTTTTTTTTTTTGCTTGGCTGCAGGTATAAGCAACATTAACTTCAGCATTAAGGTTATGTACAGTATGTCTTTCTCTAACCTCTTCAGGCTGCTGTAGTTTATGAGTTAGCAAAAATCTTTAATAAAGATTTATAACAGGACAAATTTCTCCCAGCCATTACTGTTACAAGCTGTCCCTTGCATCTGCCTTTCAAATGTCAGTTCTTCTGACAGCAACAAGAAAAGGAAATGAAGAACACTGAACACCACTTCAAACTGCTCTTGCTAAGATTTAATTGTTCTGATTTACCCAATTAACATTCATCTTATATATAAGGAAAGTAAGGGGGCTGCACCCTGTCCCACATCAGTGTTGCGCTACAGAATTATAGAACTGTCAAACCTGACTTGCTTTGATATTCATCTGCTTTAAAGAAACAGCTCTCTGGGTTCCATTATGAAGGATGGCTGGATTAACACTATCCTACATCCAGTGCTTCTGGGCTCTATTAAATGAAGGCTTTCCAAATCCCCTTTCAAAGTACAGTGGTTATCTACTGATATATGTAGTAATAGTTTCCTGTAACCCATGGCAACTGTGATCGATATTACTCTGGCAACTGCAATTTACTACCTGCGGGTGCTGGCTCAGAAATGCATCTATCAGAATGACACTGAATTCCCTGAGTGACAGTGCGGGTGTTCAAAAGTTTTCATACCTGGTACTGATTGGGCTGTGGCCTCAGTGGTGATGGTAGGGGCAGTGCTGGCCTGCTGTTGACTAGAGCTGACCTCTGGCTCTGCGCTAACAGAAGGAGATGATGCTACTTCACAGGTTGGAACCTGATTTGGCACAGGCTGGAGCAGCTCTTCTGAGCCTGCTTGCTCTTCTTGTCCTGGGAGCTGCAGGGCTGACAAAGGAATACTAATTTGTTTGCTGGTATTGGAACTACTGACAGGCATCTGAAGGGCAACCTGCTGGTTGGCTGTAGGGGTACTAGCTGGTCCTCTGGCTGGCGAAGCCAGAGTTACCCTAGCAGGCTTCTGAACAGCAGGTCTTGATAAGATGGGTGGAGATACAGACAAGTTTTGCAAGTCTAGATCAGCATTGAGAGAAGGTGTTGCGTGGGGGCTGGGCTTAGGTGGACCAACATAGGAAGGCCCAGCATGAGTCTGAGACTTGGGCTTGGACATCTGTGTCAATGAGAGTGCAGGTCCATCGACACCACCAGTAAGTTCTGCGTTGGCCACGATGTAATAGTCTTCCGGGATTTCTTGCTTGATTTTTTTGACTATCACATCATTGGTGCTTTCATCAGTGACCTGAGGTTGGGAGCCTGAAAGGGTTGTTGATGACGGTCCCACCGCAGACCTTTTGCGGGAAACATTTTGCGCTCTTTGGGGATGAGGTTCAAAGTCACTGTCTTCATCTGTCACTGAAGACTCGCAAACCATGTCAAAGAGAGTAGCTTCATCTTCATATTCTTCCACAGCTTCACCCAGCTCAGAGGGCTCACTGCAGTAAGAGAAGTCACAGGAGTCTCTGGTTCTGTTACAGTCCAACTTTGCTTTCACTGGTCTTCCAGGGTATCGCTCTACAGGGCTGGGCTGTGTTTCCGATGGCACACCAATAATGCTGGGACTGTCTGAGTTAAAGCTCCTGTTGTCTTGAAAGCACACTCTTTCCTGCGACCCAGCCCGGCAGGTTGCAGTCAGTGGCCAGTGGTAAGCATGGCCTGCACTACAGCCCCACATAGCTGTGAGGTTCCCATGGGAACCTTCTGAAAGCAAGTGCTTTAAATTTGGAATGAGGCTGCATATGGTCCCATGGCTATGAGCCCAGCTGACCAGTTTGGAAAGATTTTCAGAAGAAGTATGAAGGCAATCCTCCATGTTATAGGATAAACAGCTCCTTTCCTACAGAAAAATAGAAAGAGGCAATTAATATGATGCATGTTTCCAAGAACTACAGCTGTGCACTATTAAATAAGAACACAGCACATTACTTTTCCACAGATAAAAAATAAGTAAACTATCTTACTATCATATAATGGGCTCTTAAAAGACATTTCTCAACAAAGCATCCCTCTTTAAGCAGCTTCAATTCTCATTGCATCTATAAAAAAACTATCCTTAAACCCAGAGGCAAAAATCTTTTTGCAATGTATATCCACAATGAGGAAAAAGACTTTTGAAACAGGGGAGGTTATTCATATTGGCAACTTACTCAAATCTTAAACAAATGCAAGCTCATAAAGTCTTTATATCCAAGAAATTGAATAATTAAAAAACTAATTATAATTTTTAGCCAAAACTCAAAACTAGAATTATAGGCACTGAGTCTAATGTCCCACACTTACTTGATCAAGATTTATATACAATCCTTCCTCTATTTCAAATGCATTTTCATTTTGAAAGGACATTACAAAGCAGTCCACTTGAGGGCCAGAGATTGTTTTTAAGACAAAGAAAGATTATGAAATTTATTGGGGTTTTTGTGGTTGTTGTCTGAATTCTGAGCACTGGTTATAACTAACAGCCCAAAAACTAATACGTCTAATTTACACACAAGTTTTGAATGGTCTTGAAGACTGATTCTCTCAGACCTTCTGAGTTAAAACTCTTGCTGTTTTGTCAAACTTTAGGTGTATAGAGCTAAATCCTCATTCCACTGGAGAATACAACATTTATCACTTTCACCAATAGAGGAACCCATAGCAACAGGCACTGAGTTCAGAGACCAAGTTAATTAATACAGAGTTAGTGTATCACTTACGGCATCCTACACTGAGCTCAAGAAAATCTGTCAAATGTTCAGCCTTTTTCTTGCCATAAACTGCATACTCTGCTTTTGTTCTATCTTTTAAACAGCATCTGCAATGACACAGTCTCATCCCACAAAGGGCTGAGTGCTCTTAGCTCTCATTTACTTCAATGGAAACTGGCTGTTTAGTAGGTCCTTGTAGGATCCAGCCCAAAGCCTGCTGTGGCAGTGCACCACAGTTTACATTAGGTCAGACAAGTATTATACTTTCTAATAGACTCTATCATTGTTTCTCTGTCCTTTTTCTCTTTTATGGTTATAAAAGAGACAATCAGATGTAAGAAAGGAAATTCTTTATTCACTTAACTGAATAGGAAAAAAAAGCCAATAAAAGAGACTCCCTATGCCTGATGAAGGGTGACTGCACCCAAAAGCTTGCAAAGAACTTTTTTTCCAACTACTCAGCTGGTCTAATAAAAGATATCACATCTAACCAAAGAACTTTGTCTGCCAATAAAAGAATAGTAAATTCAGTGATTTACAATGCTAGCCCTAGTTACGTTAAAGAAAACCAAGGAAATGGAACATAACTGAGCTAGAAACATAAAAATTGTTCAGAAGTAATTTCTTGGACTATAGCCTTTTTTTCCTTAACAGTTTATTTCAAACTGCCAGATTGAAGCTCGGGTAGTTAGCTGTTGATTGTACAATTAGGTAACAGAAGAGTATGTTTCTGTTTTCTGATGTGATTAATTAAATATTGAAGAATCCAGATTTCAGTGTGAATCTTTGTTTTTACTCATTAAAATGTAGTGTTGCACTATCAGCTTCTAATCTTTGCATGTATCTTGGTGTCTCTAAGCACCTCTGCATGTCTTCCAGAAAACTTGTTCAGCAAAATATTTACAATTCGCAAAAATAAAGAAAATTCATGGCAGTTCGTGTTTTGTAGTGTTGTGAACTGTTATTTCACATTTTAGAGTCTGCAGTAAATGCATTATCTTACTAAACCAAACCTTTAAATTTTTATAAGAACAACAAGGATCTTCTTTTTCAGAGACAGAAATGAAGTCTAGTCAGTCTAATTTTTTATGTGATTCTAGGTTACTGATAAAAGGGGAAAAAAAGAATTTCACTTCCAGCCAGATATGATAATCCATTTCAGTTCTTATACAGAACTGAGGTTACAACCTCAGTAATACAGGGGTGGTCAACCTGTGGCACATGTGCCACACATAGCACTGGCAGCCTCTGGCACACTGCTGATCCAGAGCAAGTCAAGCAGTGCAGCAGCAGATAGGAAAGAAAGCAAAGCCGCAGACTGGGTAGGAAGCAGAAAACAGAGCATAAGATCATAGGAAAGGGGATCATATGGCACTGAAGGAGGATCTGGGGTTAATATGTAGCATGTCGGCCAAAAAGGTTGTTCCCCAGTGTGATAATACCTGCACACTCATATTCATTTATATATTTAATCTCATAATACATCTATAAAAAGGTAATATAATCCCTATCTGTAAAATGGAGCCAGAATTTCTCCCATAGTGCAATCGGTAGCCAAAGTCCCATTGATTTCTGTTTGGCCATCAGTACACAAGCAACTTCCTTTTTTGAGACTGTAACAGAAACATAGGTTTGAGTCAGGATTTGAACTGAGGACCCCCTAAGTACTAGTCCATTCCATTAGTTAAAAGGCCATCTTTCTTCAGCTAGGAGCAAGAGGGTACTTTAGCTCTGCAATTTTCTCCTTCCCTAATAATTGAAAGCCCAGAAACTGAGCAGCCTCCTCATTCTTCTCTGTTAAAAGAATGGCAGTTATATGGGAAATCTCACACTACTTAGATGCTTCCAAAACTCACAAACAAAATAATAATAAAAAGCATGAAAGTTTTTAACTCCTTTCCAAAAAGTTTAAATCTTTAAAATTCTAAATTATTAACCAAAAAAAAGCTTGAAAGTATCCACCTTAAACTTTAACCTTACTTATAAAGTATTTGTAATCGCAAGAGAGGTTTAATAAGGGGAGAATTCACACATTTTGCATGTGTGAGACAGAAGATGGAATTAGACCAATAGAGATTAATTCTGTGTTTATGCTTCCCAGAGGATCTCTTCATGTTCTGTACTTCACCATCTGTTACCTCCCGGAGGTCATTTGTTCAAGCCAGGTATCACATGTCAATACATTTTTAATTTAGTAAATACTTTTCTGTAAATTATTTATCATTCAAGAAACATTTTTCACGAGAGAAAAATCAAAATGCACCCAAAATCAAAATGCACACATGGAATGATCAACACTGCACAGCAAAAGCTCCAGCAGGCCCGCTTCTCCTGGCACTGATCCCTGCTCACAGAGAAATCATTCTGCTGACTCTCTAAGGAAGCTGAAAAATAATAGGTAGCATTCATGGGCCTCACCTGTCTTCAGAGTTGCCAAAGAGTTGACTTCCCCTCCAACCCCACCTCCATTTAGAAATACTGATTACATGCAGCTTCTATTGATTTCAGTTGGAGCCATGGGCATTTGCCCATTAAGCCCTGTATTGTTTCCCTGAACCAATCTAAATGCTGAGCTCACTACCAACGTATGTCCCATCCCTCCACCCCTACCCACACAAGAATTTTAAAGGCAGATATAATAAGAATATTGCACAAGAGCAGTTGTATTTAAACCAGATGTTTCTTGATAATGCACTACTTTGATTTTACTCCACTCAAACCAATGCATAAATACATGAGGCCAATGAATGTGTGCCTCAAGGTCAGCTATTGAGTAATTAAAAGTAAAAAGCACAAGTCCTTTTTATCATCTGCAAGAAGCTTTAACAACCTAAAAAATGGTACATGCACAGAGTACAGGTTTTTACAGTAAGTTATATTGTCATGTATTCCCAAGGAGCTCCAAATGCTTTGCAAACTATGACTGATCCCACAAAAACCTTTGTGCATGCAACACCTTGTGTCTATGCAAAACTCATTGCAAGACATGGACCTGTACGCAGAAGAATGCATACAATTAATTCCTGCAGAACCTGCCAGGCATACAGAATGCTTGCTTGAGTAATCTCACTGTTTTTTAGAGGTACTACTCAAGCAAGTAAATGCTATGCTCAGTGCTAAGGGCCAGATTTCTTAAAGTGTCAAAAAACCTTGTCCATGGGGGATCCCCCAGAGCCCCAAGCTTTTCCTCACTGTGCCGCCACTCTCCCCAAGGAACAGACTGAAGTTGCTCCAAGATAGCTCCCTATCCAAACACCCCAGATCCTCTGCCTTCATGCCAGGACTCCGCAGCCGCAGTGGGGGATCTCTGCCCACCCTGAGTGGCCCCCACTTTAGGGTACAGAAGACATTTATAAATCCCCCTTTCAATGGAAAGGATAGCTTGGGAAAAAAATCACTCACCCGGAAATCACTCTTTCCACCAGCAGTCAGGAAAGAGAACAACAGGAAAAGGATTTATTACATAGGATGAAAGAATTATGCAAATAAAATAAACCATAGGTTTGGAGACAGAACATAAAACAAATACAGATTCTTACCCTCTCATCTAGCTCTCCCCAGCCTCCCATGAGAGTTCTGCCTGAGATCTGAAGATCAGCCTTCTGCCAACTCTGCTAGTCCTGGTAACCAAGGCCATTGAAGCCTGTGAGGTTCAAATTCCAATATTCTAGTCTAGCTGGGCTCTAAAAAGCCTTCATGCCAGCCCCACAATTAGCGTTATTCTAATGCTCATGAGTCACCAGATGTCTCTAAGAAG